TCCTATCTACAGGAGGAGCTAGAATGTGCACAATTACATTCAGACTATAAAGGGCTAGCTTGCAACAAAGCAGTGAAGAGATGTTTTTTAAAATAATTTCTTATTAGAATTAGATAGACTGAAATTAGATAGACTAAAATTAGATAGACTGAAATTTTTCACAAGTGTTTCCAAAACTGTTTATTATGTTTATTTAATTTCTGGACAGTTACCTGAAATCCAGTGCAGTTTCTTAGCAGGGAATATGAAAATGCCAATGGTTTTTAACTGGAACACAACTGTATTTTTTTTACATTAAATAATTCTTGTGTTTTCCAAAAGGAGTTYTAAATTTCCTTTACTGATGATTAAAGCATATAAGTCTGTCATCCCTCAGCAAGTTTCAGTATTAATTTAATACATATWTTTAAATGGAAATGAAAGACTACAGCTAAGAAGTAACACTAATTCAAATACTCACAAAAATGTTGGAAATACTATTGGAACTAYTGACTATGCACATAGGTTAAACTGGACTGTGATACCAGCTGCTAGATTTTTATCCTATAAAAATTACCTGTGTAAATATAGACTACTGGGAAATCAGGGAGGAGAAAAAGAAACAGGGAGCCTTGTTATTTAAATACTGCCATAGCTGGACTTCAAGCATTTTGAAGAAGAAAATGTACCAACTCCATCTGTTGTAATGGTACAATGACATTCTAGATTTCAGACACCTACTTAAAATCTGTGCAACCAATTTTTAATTTTTTTTCTCTGCAACATTTTTTTTATTTACAAAGATTCATAACAAAAGAAATCCAACAAGCAGAAATTCTTTAAATACAGTGATACCTACAATTATAGTAAACTGTTAGTTTTTCAGTAGTTTTGTTAGGGGTTTTCTTTTTTGYTTGYTTGTTTGGTTATTTYTGTAAATTGTTTTCCAGTACMTAATGCTTTTTAGATGCYTTTTTTATAAAGAGGGGTTTTGCAATAAGYTGATGGATAACTTGTGCACAAGTTTATTAGGAAACTAATATGCACATATTCTGCACTTTTTAAAATGCTAATTATTGGGCACTGGAATTAAAAAGTTTTATAAATATATATACATTTAATTCAAGAATTTTCATCAAAAAACTATGTATCTTAAGYATTTTCACTTTTTACTTCCTTTCAATCTTTCTGCAGAGCRGAACAGGTGAAGTAAGRAAAAATCAACCACTTAGGTAGAGTTRGACTTTAAAGTTTTCAATTTGCAGCACAACAACTCCAGCTGATAGCTTTTATTTCTCCCTTATTAAAAGTAAAACTGGAGCGTTAAAGATAGTGCATGTTTATGTATCTACATGAGTAAATTCAGCAAAATCCCAATGATACAAAACCTTAATTTATCTCCTCCACCCATTACTAAACAACCTGGTTCAGATGCATGAACTTTAGGTGGCACATTTTGCTTACCTTATTTTCAAATGAAATTMAAATAACTAAGAAAACTCCGACAATKAATTAAACAATTTAAAACAGACCAGTTGTCACAGCAAAGTGAGAAGYTGTTATTTTTCTGTCACTTTTCCCACAACAAAAAAGTCACTACGTATTATTAAGAACACATGAGCCAGTGAGCATACAATGGAAAAGGCAAAGGGGTAATGAGAGAAAAAACAAGGGCAATAATGTAATTTATTTGAGTAATTTGCAGCCTATTGTATAAGGTAGGGAGTCATGCAAAAAAAGGTAATCTTGAATAGCCTGTAACCTTTTCTTTATATTGCAATGTTATTTCTACGCTAAGGGAAAGTTTTGTATTGATCCAGGTAGGAGAAGATTATTATTAACCTGATGTTGAACTTCTTTTGACCCATGAGTCTATCTCCCTCCTAAATAACCACATTATTTTCCTTCATCAAAAAGAAAGAATAAAATTCCTACACAGCACAGAATAGCATAATGAACTTGAGAAACTACAGTGATATGGAAGAGCTTTCATCTCTTGTGCCCCTAAAATTCAAGACAATTTGGACTGTGCTCTTTTCTACCTACAGAAATAGATCATATTGAACACCTGCTTGCACATGAGATTTGCAACAGCTCCAACAGTATTTTTATTGCCTTGGCTTAATAAAAACATTAACACTCTGTGTTGGCTTCYTTTGCAGTAGCGAGGAGGAAAAATAGAATGCAAGAACAACAACTTGGCTGGAAATTCAACATAATGCTGTTGAAATCAATATAACGCTGTTGAAATCAACATAACGCTGTTGAAATTCAACATAATGCTGGAAACAATTTCCAGGATGGGAAAGAAAAAAAAAAAAAAGTGGTGAAAATTTGTATGTGAGGATTGAGAAACAGCAGAAATGGATACAAGAGATGTTTAGTTCACAGACGCAACACAGATGAGTTTTTGGTTTGCTGTGGTATCCGTTAGCACTTTGGTTACATTCAGTGGACACAAACAAAAGGGTTTTTTTTTGTTCACTTTTCAGGGCCACAACTGAAATGCACCTTTGAGCAGAGAGTTTTTGATCGCAATGGCAGGTCAGCAATACAAACAAAACTGTTAAAACAGTTTTTTAAATGTTAAAACAGGATTTTATGCAAGTTTAGTATCCTGACAGTCAGGAAAATGCAACACCGCCCCATTCTTGCAATTGCTTTAGAATACAACAATTTCAATCTGTTGGCATTTTACAGAACAGCTTTTAGCAAATAAACAACAACCAGGCACTTCTACATTACCATGGTAATTTTTTAACACCATCCACTCTGTTTACAACACAAAATAATACCATTTCTGCTGTGGTAATTTAATTCAGCAGTGTAGTTTTTTTGAGCAAAGATTTTTCTTTTCTGTAGAGTTGTATAAAAGCAGCAGCAGAAGTTAAAGTCAGCATAATTGTAAAAGCTGCTTTTCTGCAGAAAACCTTCACAGTAAAAAAGTAATCAACCAGCTCACAACTGTGGCTGCAAAATTCAAAAAGAAAGAGGCCTGGAATTGTAAGGGGGATTCACCATTAACTAGTGGGATGCATTTTTAATCCAAAATTTAACATTTATATCAGTAGAGTSAAAAAAGAATTAAAATATCACTGAGTAAAGGTAACAAAGAATCAAAGACCAGCAAATGACACAAAATCTGAATGCTGAGTGAGCAGCATGGGGTGAGTGAGCAGCAAATACTTCATGGAATTCAGAAAAAAAGATGAAAGAAAACAGAAGAAAAAAAAAAAAAAAGCAGAAATTAAATGTGCATGCTTTCTATTTCACAGAATACGCACATTAAAAACATAATTTCAGAACAAGGAGATGCCACAGCAGAGTTCAGATTCCTGGAGCTTAAATACTCCTTGTTCTGGACTGAAGGGACCCAATTTGAAGGGATCTCATATATTTTGGACTCAGGATTTCTACACAGACATGGATTACTCAGCAAGCATAGCCAGGAAATCACAAATTCAACATGATCAACCATACACAATGTTATTGTATTTAAAAACAAAGAATGAAAGGTAAAAGTTTTTATATTGGGAATATCAGTCTTTTAAATAAGTGATTTGAAATAGTATCATTACAGAAAAAAATAAAGCTAAAATCAAGTAACAAACATATGCTCATTCCAAGGCTATGCTTAAAAGGGGTGSTTTTAACATTTTTTAACATTTAATAGTGCTTTAAACATTTAAAGAGAGAAGCAGTGAAYAGGAAAGGTTATGTCACCTTTCTATGCAGCTTCTGGAAATTTATGTGCTGTGCTGGCATTCATACTTCAGGAAGGAGGCTTAAGATACTTTAGGATTAAAAATGAAGATTTGAAAGAATTACGAGAATGAGGAAAGGATGTGAAAAAACAATCTTTCAAGAAAAACCTAAGATGCTCATTCTCTTTTAAGCAAGAGAAGTCTACGAAATTATTTGATTTTAACCTGTAAAATCCTATATTGGGGGATAAATTTTGTAACAAAAGACCCTTTAAATGCAGAGAATAATGATATATTTACAACTCTGGATGGACATAGAAGCCAGGTAAACATAGGCTAATAGGTGAATACTTTTAACAAAAGCAGGTTTTTTTTGTGAAAAAACTAGGCAGCTGCTGATTGTAAAAGAAGTATTTTGTAATAGAACAAAATACTTCTTTTAGTGATCTTTAAGACAATTTAAGCATAAAGTATGTTTTCATTGTCTTATTTGTTATCTATAGCTTAATAAAATTTTACTGCAGACAGATATGAGTTCATTGTGTGTTATCTTTATTCCTCCATTCTTTATCTGCTCACTGCACTGTTTATTTAAGATTTTAAGAAAAGTTTTGCCCAATTTATTACAAAACCTTTGGCTCTGCTATGTGGCAAAGATGTGTGTGCCAGAATGCTTTGGTGTCATCACCACAAAAAAAGAAACTCTGCACTGCAGAATAGCAGCCAATAGCAGAGACAGCATCAGCAACAYTCAGCTGTAAATGCTTTGTTTGGGCTCCTTTCCATTTACCTTGGGACAAATCAATAGTCCAAGCTTCCTTTTTCTGTTTACTTCATGCATTTTTTTTCATAGATAGTTAGCAGATCAATACTGATTTGTATTCTAAAGARTGAATAACCTTTATTTATTTTTATAAAGGAATAAACTCCTACTAAMTTGTCAAACAAATGCTGAAGATTTAATGGCATTATATAGAGAGATCYTTTAGTGGTAATGATAAAGAAGAAGGATTAGCTAATACTGGTAGAATTGGGGTTGTTAACAGTTCAAGTGTTTCTTGGATGGATATCCAAAATAAATGAAAAATGCTGATTTGTCAATCCTACTCCTTACCAGAGTTTTGAAGAATCTTCCTCTAGTTCCTGTGTACAGAATTTATTTTTGCACAGAATTTGGAAACTAGACTTATGTGATTGAGGAAACAAAGGAAAAACAAAGATGGCACTTTAAGTTTTTGTCACTGCATAGTGTCAGGAATTTATCACACACTGAGAAAGAAATATCACACAGAGMTATGTGATATTATTTTTACTCACATGGTACAAAGCAGTTTCTGGTCCAGGTGTGCCCATGACTTCTTGTCTCAATGACTCCATTTGTAAACTMGGCAACAGAGAGTAATGACTTGGACTACTGCTCTTGTCTCCCTTCTTTTTGGACTTCTTTCCAGTATCCTTTTTGCTATTCCTTTGAAACATGTAGTCTTCTTGACCTATTTTCTCATTGCTCATGTAACGAAGCAATGAATTTTCTGTTGAAAGTAATGCAAAATATCATTGTGAACTGTTGCATGCATGAAAATCCTGCTTCCAAAACATGCAGTATTCTTGCTGGCAATTTTAACCCTTCAGGACTATTTCATTAACAAAACTCATTTGCTTTTTTGGTTCAGATATAATAAGAAAACAAACTTGTGATAGGGAAAATTTCATGATTCTTACAGTTTTCTGGTATATTTTAAATAAAAGGAACAAAATACAAAAGATGTAGCACATCAATAAATTTTGTCTTGGAGTTTTTAAAAAAAAGCAATGATGGACTTAGGATAATTTTTGGGGTTTTGCTACTTTTTTACCAGGAGTCTTAATGAGTACAAATGTCAGTGGTGCCATACATTTTAAAATATTTTGGTTTGAACATTCGTTGGAGATCATTCACCTTATCATACACATTTTCCCTGAACACTCCCACAATATTTTCCAATTTGCAGCTGAGACATCCTGACCCAGAAGCAACGTCTGTGAATTTAGGAAACCTCAGCAGATTTCTCTTTCACAAAATTGTCTTCTCTTTTCTTGCATTAATATGAGCTCCAAGTATCCACAACCTCCTGTGGCAAGAGGTTCTTTAGCTTCAACATGAACTGCATCAGCTCATTCTCTTTTTAACCAGAGACATTTGACCTCTTTGGTCTTTTTTCAGATTAAACACTGACAAACCTATTTCCTTCACTTCACACAAGATTTTATAAACCTTTATTATGTCCCCCAAACTGGTAATGGCCAGCCTGGTTAATTGACTCCACTTTAAAAGTAAATTCATGCATCTGATTAATTTTTCTTGTCTCCTTCAATTCAACTGCATTTTTCTTGAGAGATTAAGAGACTGGAACTACACATACACAGCATGAGCACCAATTGACACAACACCATAAGAATACTTCTAAATTTGTCTTGTATACTTTTCCTAGTAATTCCTAAATGTTTCATTTTTTGATCCCTATTGAATATTTAGTTCATATTTTTACAGAAATAGCTATCATTACTGTAACAGCTTGTCCCTGGCTGATAATAGGAATCTCAGAGGTCATAATTTTTTATGTGGAATTACATATCCAGGCCTCACAAACCAAAATTTTGAAGAACTTATMCTCTTTGATTTTGAGGTAAATCCCATGCTGCTCTAGAATGTTTTCCATACAAAAAGAACTCTTAAAGACAAAGAAAYGTGATATATAATTCTCATTTAAGCATAAAAATATTTATCAGTAGTAATCATATATTTGTTCTCTAGTGTTATAAAATTAAGGCCAGTTTCAAAATGGATGGAATACTGAAATATCAATATCAATATCATTGAAATACCAACATGAATTTAAGACAAACTGCATGGCTTTGAAGTCATGACTTTTTTTTTGCCTAGTTAACCAGCTTCCTCAATTTAAAAATAGACTCTGGAAAAAAATAAGCATATATAATAAAGAAAATCCCCAAACAGCTTCACAAACACATATAGTTAAGCAAGCAGCAAAATGATGTTGAAATATATAGCTTAAAGCTATAAAAGCCATAAAATAAAGATAAAACCCATAATGCCTTGTATAAGATGTGTGTTCATATCACTTACCTCTCCTAGTATCTCTTTTTATTTTATTGGGATCTTCATAATCTCCCACCCAATTATATTCTACTGGCATAGAAATAGGCCTCAGCTTCCCTGGAAACAGAGGAAAAAATTGAGATCATGCACCATAAGACAGCATTAACATAACATTTTTCAGAAGAAAGAACAAATGATGTGYTAAGCTGCTATTCCACAGGGTTTCTTATGAAAGAGGATCCAGAGAACCTCTGAACAAGAGGTTAAGACAGGAATTTTTTTGTCTTTAACAGAGAAGAAGCAGCTAAGTATTTAATGGATTTTTTTTTGTTGTTGTTTTTAAGTTTAGAAAATAAATCCAGTGCCCAACAAAATCATCACGGGAGTGACATCTGACACTGACAAATGCATTCAAATTACTTTAGTTTTCAATGAGCAATATCTATTTTTGATTCTGGAAGCCCCTGGCGACACATGGAAGAATTGTTTTAAAGCATATGTGAATAGCAGAAACTTATGCATATCACAAAAGTACCTTCAAAAATAGCAAATTTGCTGGTGGGGTTACAAGATCCATCAGTAACCAAGTAAGAAAGGAAGCAGAAAACCTCTACATGTAATTTGTTTTGTAGCATTTAATCCACAGAAAKCAGAGTGAATTATCATTGCTAAATTCACTTTGACTTCAGACAGCAAAACACAGAATAGTTGAAGACCATCCTATCTTTTACATTTTGATTGGAAGCTGCTGAATTGATTTGAAAAAATGCTGTAAACTGATTTCTATTTAAGGATTGCAGACATAGAGCTGGAAATCAGTGAACTCAGAACTTAGTGGGGCTACCTAAAGTGGTCTGAATTCTTTAGCAAGTTTAATTGTGTATTGAAACAAAACTATAGTTAAATAGTACATTGAAACAAAGCAGAATAGCATAGCATATGGCATAATATCTAACAGACTCAAAACAAAATGTTTTCCCAACAAGATCAGTCCCTGCTCTTCTTGAAATCAATCTACAGTCACAAAACCAAAAAGTGAGTAAATTATTTTCTTTTAAAAGTAGCGAAGCTGCAAGTAAAAGCTTCAGAAGTCTTGCAAACTTTTTTGGTAGAGAATCCCTACATGAAAGTTTTATTCTACATTTTTGAGGTTAAATCCACGATACAATGGAAAAGAATGACATGTTTATAATGCAAACAAATATTCAAATATGTCCATCTCCCTGCTGAAATACTGTGTCCATGGGAAACACACCAATACCATACAGGGAGCATAATGGTATTTATTACATATATATTTTTATTATATATGTTTTTATTTTATATATATATATATATATATATATATATTATATATTTATTATATATATTTATTATATTTTTATTATATATTTTTTACTATATTTATTTTTTAAAATTGACAAAAAAAACCTGTATGTTCTGTACTGACCACAGGATCAAGTCACAAATACATGTCTACTCAAGGAAATTATATATATTTTAAACTTTTCATTTCCCATTCATTTTACTATTTATGGACACGACATTTAAGTCTGATTGAAGCCAGTGAGATTTAGCACACACAAARTCATTTCTTGAGTGGGGATGGATTCAGCTCAAGCTCACTTGATCAGAAGAAGCTTTCAACAGTTTCTTTTCCAGAAATACAACTKTTCTTTGTGAGGCTGAACACACAGTATCTTATTAATAGGAACTCTACACTTAATAAAATACAAAAGCTACAAAATGGTGGAAAATCTGACTGTTATAAAAAATAACACAAATTTTCTGGAAAACCTTCAGCTGTTCAAATGATTTTGTATCAAGTATTTAAAACAGCAATGATCAAATTTGTTTCTTTCCTTAAACTCAAGTTTTGTTTGCTTGTTCCCTCTCCTAACCACCTTTTTTTTTTTAATCCCATGGATTCCCTAATCTCTTTTTCTTGTTGAGGGTATTCAGGAGAATTTTTATGTTGGATGAGAACAGAAGCTTTCCAAGGCAAATTAGCAGCAATTACACAATAACTGGAAGCTAGCAAGAGCAGGAAAGAGAAATATGTTTCTTAACATTGTCAAAAAATGTCAAAAGGTTCCAATAAAGAAATTACAGAGGGCCTTATCAACCTCTCATGAAGGAGGACTGAGAAAATATTTATAAAAAAATTGACACCATCACAAAATTAATGATAAGTACAAGTTGAAAACAATTATATCTCTAGGCCTGGGAACTCTYTTTGACCTTCTTTAATGGGTCAACATAAGCCAGAAGAGTGTTCTTCTAATTTTCCAGATTTCTGCAAAACCCTAAAGTCATGACTACCCCCAAACCTCGTGCTAACAAATAATAGGTGGGAAATTTGAGAATTTAATGCTGAAATGGTAATATTTTTAGAAAATAAACTAAAATGAAAATGGATTTGATTATGTGAATTCATTAAAAAGGGTGTGAGATCAAAAGTAAAATGAATGTGTTAAATAATTACTGATTTTCAGTGCAGCCTTTGATCCCTGTCTTTATGACCATTTCTGCTAAAAAAAAAAGGCTAAAAAAGCTATTTTATAACAARATAAAATACTACTTCAGTAGTCCTTGAAGAAGAAATGTGTTCTTCTTCACTCTCGACCACCAGCATTAAAATTTAATGTCTGGAACAGAGAGTGCATCTCTGTTAATGGAACTGACTGCAGCTACCAATTGCAATATCTGAAATGCTGSAGTAATAAAATTGATATATCCCTTTTGAAAACTTAACAGTTCTTTTGCACARAATGGGCATGGTTAGCAAACACTTGAAAACACTTTGAAATCAAAAGGATACTGAAGATTTTTCAGCAGGGTGTGTACTTGTGTAGAAAAGGTGCATTTGGTGAAAATGCAACATTTAATACCGTGCAAGCACATTGCTCCAGGTTCTTAGGATACTTTACACACCTGAAGTGCAATTTATATCAAGGYTTCYAGGTGATTTTGGAGCTTGGCTGCAWGATGKRCTAAATCTATGCTTCCTCATAAATTTCATCTATTTTCTTCACAAAGGGGTATGGTGACAGGACTGCTGTAACTCCAACATACAGCTTGTGCTCAGTTCAAAAACTGAAATAACACAGCAGCTAGGTCAAAAAATATTCAAGTGTGAGCTCAGCTAATACTCTGGCAGTCAAAATACAGTTTTTAAACATGAGATTTCATTKTCTTCTATGGCCTAACAACTCTATGACTGCACAATTTTATACTTGGCTACAGAAAACCAGTAAYCCCAGTGCAAAGTTGAAATAAATTACAATACTAGCTAAAAGAAGAGCTCCAATGGTTTCAGGAGGAAAACAGGCTGGAGCACAAGGGCTTRAGCATCAAAACTCTCACCAGAAATGGTTTCTGAATTCTCCTCCTAAATAAGCTGAAACCTAAGATGTGGATGTAGCATGAAATCAAGTGTGTGTTTACATGCAAAATTCCTTCTTAAATGTTACCCATGATCTCAAATGTGAGGAGCTGTTATTTGTACAAAGCCACCACTCAGCAACATTGGAGGCTATAGGAGGTTAATGCAGTTTACCAAAAAAAAGCACACTGTCATCAGTCATTCTTCAACATTGGGAGTGAAGAAAAAKGAAAGAGTTTGAGAGAGCAGTGCAGCATAAAAGCAGCATGTCACCTCTTGGTAAATCTGAAGTGGTTTGATTGTTATTATACCTAGGAAAATTTTTCTAAAGCTGAATTCAGAAACTTATTCAAGTCTTGCCCTTATAATGAGAGAATACTTCCATTCTGTATTTTTAGTAAAATGTATGGGCTTCTGGTACAAGCTTTATTTAAAAAATGGTACTGAAACATACAAAAAAATAGAACTTATATTCAAAAAGCCCATCAATTTTAAACTGGATTTACCTATCATAATAATTTTTTTTCTTTTCTGTAACAGAATAAGTAAGCTCTTAGGTTGAAATTGAACTAAAGTAGTATTAAATTCTTAGCAAAATCAATGGCACCAGCAATATCTTCATGGTTAAAAACAAAAGCAGATGCATGAAAAGCCTAAAATCAACAAATGGTGATTATCTTCATGAGATCCATGCCATACCATATGTTGGTGTGCTCTCTCTCCTTCCAGGACCACTTCTTCCTTTCTCATATTCATAGCAGTACAAAACTGCATCTTCTTCAACCACATTAAAGCGTTTCCGATACTCCTGGTCCAGAAATGAGTTTGGGGATTCAGATCCTGTATGAACCGGTTTGCCCACTATATGTCTGCCAACATCATCACAGGGGAGATTTCCCTTTTCATCCCTTTAGGTAAAAAGAGAAGTTTTTAATATATTGAGATAAGACACTGATTTTTGAAACTGTGAATACTTCAGCAAACATGAGCCTATGTSAATATTTCATATTTCATATTGAAACAAATTAAATCCACCCCACATCATATCAGGATCACACAGCATACATGCCACATGTATGCATTTATATGCCAGTTACTTCACATGTCTCTCCTCAATTCTTTACAGATTTATCCATCTYACTGGTTTCTCTTGAAAAGAATTATAGAAATAAAATTGATGATTTTGTTTTCATTTTTTTTTTAATCTATCTAGCAGTTTGTGATTTAGGGCAAAGGAATAAGTTGGCCTTACTTTTTCATACCTGCATTTTTAAATACATTGGATTGTTTTAAGACATGGCTACATGGCAAGCATAAACAAACTCAATCTGGTTCCTGACACATTAAACCCAGATCAAGAAGAATCAGGTACAGAAGACATACAGACATCTGACACAGTTTTACRCCATCATTTCAGGTCTAGAAGTTGTACAGGTGCATTCATGCAGTTTCAAATGTAGTGTCTAGCACCAGTTTGTCAGTGGCTATCCCAGGACAGTGCTCACTTTGCAGTTTATGTCAGATCCCCAAAATCTTTTTGCTTTTCTGCATGCCTGTCCCCTGCTTTAAAAATGGAAACTACTCAAAGATATCAAACACGAGAGCAAGCTGTGCTGTCTTAGGAGTCCTTTTTTGAACTAGATGTACCAGGGCTSATCTAGTAAACATGCTGGTGGAACTGTGCCTGGAGATGGCTGCAGAAGACCTGATCAGACAGTTATTTCTGGGCAGCAAAATGTAGGAGAGGTAATCAAGAGAGAAACTGGGCCATGAGCACTTTTTGGAGTCCTTCAGATCCTCTGGACTCCCATGTGAGTTCCAGGCTGACCCCTACTTCCCTTGTGTAAGAGACCGTACAGAAGACCCTTGACTGTCTCACGATCATCGAGATGGACTGAGACTGAACACCCCAAAAACCCCAAGGGGAAGAAAGGGGGACTTTTGCTCAAAGGAGTCCAAGCCAGATCAAGGTGGGATGACTGCCAAGTTTCCAGCTCCCAGGCTGCTGAGTACAACGTGTAAGCTACGGATGGTCGCACCGTTCCTGRCGTGAAGGCGGAGAGAACGGTACAGCCCACAGCCCATGCTGCACACCTCATGGAACAATGGACATTCTTTCCCCACCTCTTGGCCAGTTTTTCCATACTTTGCAACCCCCTGGCCTGCTGCCACCTGCTTTAAAAAGACTATAAAGAGTCTCTCCGAAAAGACCCAGATGGGATCCCCCGCAATGGACACTGGCGAACCTATGAAATTCGGACTGCGCGGATTCGTCGGAGCCGTTTGGTAGCTATAAACCCACTCTTTCTCTCTCTCTCTCTCTCACTTTCTCTCTCTCTCACCCTCTTCTATCACAAAAAATCCAAATAAATTATTCTTGATTATTTAAAATATATATACTTGCCCCTTGTTTCTTTTGCACTCTGAGATTCTGATAATGAACCCCTCACGACTCCCGCTTGGGTTAAGCGGATCGTGACACCTTGGCACCCTGAGACTCCATCTGAGCACAAAGCAAAGCCTTTATGGGAGCCAGGCAGCCATGAGGGATGAGAAAAGGCCATCCTGCTTCATCACAAACCCCACTGACCACACTACACATTGGCAAACTGCTCCCCCAGAGCAGGGACGGTGTTGGTTTAGTGAGAGGGGCTGGAGCAGCACCAACAGGGCTGTGGGAGCTCCTCCAGTCAAAGAAAAGCTTTCTGTGGTGTCAGATTTGGGGATCCCAGCAGGTGACAGGATGGAGACTGAAAGAAAGCAGCCAGATGCTGAGCAATGCTGCAGCCACCATCAGGGGTTGGCACAAGGAAGGCAGAACAGCCTGACCTAGAGGGATCTTCACTGCAAGCATGGAGTTAACTACAGAGCCACCAGGACAACATCATCTGACACAGCCCTCTCCAATTCTCACCCCAAAAGGTATTTGACAAATAAGAGTAGCACAAACACACAACCAGCACTCCTAAGTAAGCAGCACATGGAAAGTGTTGATCGCTTTTTGTCATGCCATCCATGTGAGGATACGTCAGCAGCTGTTACTGTCTGTGGGCATCATCATCAAGGCTTTGGGTTTACAATTTACAAGAAAATATCAAGTCCTTTGCTCTATTCCAGTAACAAAAGAAGGGCTTGTTTGTTTGTTTTTTWCCCTTTGGAATGCCAACAACAAACTGAGAAACAGATGCTGAGCAGTTTGGTAATACCCAAAATACCAACATGATTAATATAGTTAATCATGGACAAAAAACCTGATGAAATACCCAAACAAATTATTTAGAAACACTGCACTTTATGTGACAGGTGAAATCAAGTATAATCCATTAGCATTAAGCTGATGAAAAAATGTAAATGTACAAAGCTTATTTTCTCTACAAGATTACTGCTTGTTCTAACATGTATTATAAGATTTAATCAGAACTATTGCATTATCATGATGATTCAAGAGATGTTATTAACAAATAATCAAAATCCATTTGGAAGATACCAGTTTCTAGAGCAGAACTCAAAAACTGAAGAGTAGTGAATGTTCACCAAAAACACTTAAAAAACATTTAAAAAATGAGGATGAACTTCTTATTAAATAAAAGTATTTTTGTGATGGTAAACATAATCAGAAGCAGTACAAAGGTATTAGTTCTTTTAAGACAGTACATTTTCAGGAGCACCAGGTTTTCATCGTGTGACTACTGCATTCAAAGAGAAACACACATCAGACTATCTTTTGGTTGGATTCTTCTTCTCCCCAGCTTTTTTTATGTTAATGGATTAGAATTGAATATTTGGTTGTTTTCTATCACTTTTCTGAAAACCATGCTCTTAAAAAATTTATGTGAGCATAACAAAGTACTGTTACCAGGGAGATAAAAGATTTATTTAATTCCTGTGCACAATTTAAGTGTCATGACTGAAAATGCTTTTATTTAATTAAAAGGAAAAGAATTAGTGATAATGAACTTGAGTGTGTGTAAGTTCAACAGGGTTATACATGTCACATTTGAAATAATTTTTTCTCTGACAAACAGAAACCAAAAGTCCTGTCAGTATTAGGTCATACATCTTATTAACTTGCTAGCAAGTCAGTGTAAAGAAAACTCAGCTGCAAGAAACTCAGGTACAAGAAAGGACATGCTGCCCTTATAACCTTTCCAAGAAAGGCAACTAAAAGAAAAGCAAGAAGTAATTTAAAAATACACTAATTGGACATATGATAGCCTGTCTTTAAGAGTATGAAAGCTTTGGGAATTCTGATTTCTCTAATATACATTTCCAGACCTCTGTGTAGCCACTTTTGTATTATTTGTAGGCCATAATTCTCTCAGAATTGTAGGAAACCAACATCTGCGTAAATTATGGAGTTACAGTGAATCATTTGTGGTTGTGTAAAGGTAGGCTAATGAATCTGCAAGGAGGGCTTGCTGCTTTTCTGGCTCAGCAAATCTGGAGAGCTGAGAGAGATGAAAATTCCTGTTCCAGGTGGCAGGTCAGAGTTTATTAACAGGGTTTATTAAGAGGGTTTATTAACAGGGTTCAGCATGGTCACTGCAGTCTAGAGGAATGGCCACACTAAAACACAAGCCTGACGTGCTCAAATACTATCTAGTTGAATCTATCTAAAAAAGAAAACACTATGGCAGGACTAAACTATGGCAGGACTAAAACACTATGGCAGTGCTGTTACGGAAGTTGAAAATTTCTTGCATTTAATTAATCAGCCTCCCTTGCTGCACCATGACTATCGGGCAAAAGAAGAGATATCAGCTCTTTTCCTGGTTACAAATTCAGTGTTTCAGGTAACTTTTGCCCTTCTGAATGAGGATGAAACTGTTGCAGTCAATTGATGACTCCAGATTTTAGAAAACTGGGTATTGAACCTTCTTCTCTAAAGGCTGCTATGTATTCTGCAGACAAGATTCTGATTGAGGACGTTTTGGATCTGATTCAACACATCTACTTTTAATAATCAGTTTACCAGCAAAATACAGTGTTAATACAGTATTATCTGCAGGGCAAATAAATAAATAGGTGTGGGGGAAAAGGGCCCACAAGCCCTGAATCTGAAACTCAGACAATTATTGTGTATGACTGAGGCCTGGGAAAAGAAAGGGATGTTAACAGCCTGCATGGAGGAGGAATAACACAACCTTGGCTACTGTTGAGAAAAGGATATTGGAATAGAGAATTGATAACGCAGGTGGCTGGAAATTATAAACATTACTAATACTGTAGCTTTTGCAAACTCACCAATTATGTTCTGATTACTAATTAAACAGCTATCTCTTGACCAATGTATGTTTGACACAAATGTATACTCTGGTTGCTAAAGTGGATAAAAGAGGCTTGTCTCATAATAAAGTTCTTCTTTTTTTCTGTTTTTTTCACCCACTTTTTGTGTGTTTTGTATCTATTCTTTTTTATCGCTGTTTGGCCAGCAGCGACAAACAGGTATGAACAAAATGGTTCAGTTACTTCACAAATGGGTTTTTTATATCAAATTGTATTGTGAAATGATCTTTTTTTTTTTACCTTGGAACATAAGGTTCTGTTGGAGGAGGGGGTATGTAGAGATCCTGGAGGGCAGAGCTGTCTCTTTTTGTTGGTGTGCTGATAGTGCTGGATGGAGTGGCAACACTGCTTGTAGGGCTTCTGGGAATAAGAGGCTGGTTCAAAAAAGAGAGAGAAATAATCAAGATTATCCTTAKGTATTATACATTTTTATTTGTAAAAGCCAAAACCAGACTGTAATTCAGAAAGCTAAAGAAATAGTWAGCAGTTCTACTGGTTTTTTTTGTGCTTTTAAACTGACTAAAAAACCACTCATGCTATGAAAGACAGATCTATGAACAGACATGTGGTTATAAAATTGACTCTTCTGATTGCATCTTTTTCCCTTTAGCAGAGCAACTTTATTGCCAATGCCCATAAAATTAGTGATCATTAGAGCTACTGGTAAAATCTTAACATATATAAATAACATACAGTATCCAGTTAATTCCTTAAGTAAATGAACATTGTCAAGAAAAATTCTAGTGTTTACAGCAAAAGGTGCATAAGTAGGCATTAAATTGAATGTCAAGTCCTCSCATCTGGTCTACAGCTTAAGAATTAACTGCAAAAGCTTCAGTTTATGCCTGCAGATGCTGTTAAATCAGGTACTGCATCCTCAGAGCACACGTGCCATGAGAGAATCAACTGGAGATTATTATTATTGTTCATTCCCCTGGGCACACTCCTCACAAAATAACATTTATTCATAGGTTAATAAAATGTATCCTGCTAGCAAAATAATCATGCATGCTGGCTATCATTCCAGTCCAGRTAAGATCCTTCTTCTTAACTACATCTCTATCTGTCTCATGAATTAGGTGCCTTTTTCTTCCTTAATTTAAAAATCTTTATTAAATCACTGCAGGGATGAAAATTATAGCAAGATTTTCTAAGCCTCTAGAAAGATGCAGAAAAATTAAATGAGAAGAAAAGTTTGATTGTTTCAGTTTCCTTAAGAACATSTGTCTAAAAACAAAAGCTGTGTGTGGCTTGTTTTCTGTGATGGCCAAACTCAAGCAGAAGAAAAAAGAGCAAAACAGCAAGTACAAGAGTATCTTCATACACCCTAGAATTAATCTAATACTAAAAAATACTGAGTTTTGCTTASARAGARTTTTTTMTCTTCCATATTTTTGGAAGTTTACTCCTTGAAGAAAGAAGTGCTGGGATTGAAGATAGTTCACTACACCTATAATTTCTGACCTTAGTAATTAGTGGAAGACACAAACATTTCACATTGTACCAATGGCAGAGAAGCTCTAAATATGGACTGAATGGGTGCACAGAAAGATCCTCCTCCCAGCATTATTAACAACACTTTATGACACACCAAGAGGGCATTCTTGTGCAGAATAATCAGTTCTCATTATCTTGACACTGTTGCTGAAAACCCCGTAAGTTTAAACCAGGAATGGTCAAAATGTTGGACTTTTGTCAGTGATAAGGCATTCCAAGACAAGTCCCCACCACTGCGTTACTTTTTTACAATCTGTATGTAGGAACAACAAGTGTCACTTAGGAAACCTCATCCTTTAGCCTGTTTTAGGAACAGAACTGTGTTAGGTGTTGTTTATCTCAAACATAATAAAATGCATGCTTCAAATTTGCATGTTAAAATTTTGCAAGTTCGCCTTTAGAGCAACAGCTATAAATTGACACAAGTTTCCTGGTTTTGAATGTTCACAATCTGTCTTTTATAAAAAGTGATAGTGCTTAATTATTTCCTTCCTCACTAGAGTTAATGTGAGTATTCTACAGCCAGGCCAAAGAAAGACCACCAGTGTTTATAAGAAGAGAGAGAGAAAGACACACACACAAAACCAGACAGGTAAAAGACTTTACAACCATTAAAAACAAGACAAGTCTGCAAAAATAAGAATAAAGTTGGTGGTAAAATGGTAAAAAAATCAAAGAAAATCAAAACAATTAAAGCCCCCCTAAACAACTCTCCCTTTTTCAGAAAAACAAAAATATAAATTTCCATCTGTGACACTGTAGTCATAGATGTTTTTGAACAAGTCACTAATACAACACTGTTACCTTTCTGATACCTTGCACTTCTATGATAACAACACTTTGTGGCTTGCTGAGCAGCCTGTTGAATTAATTTTCATGGTAAGCCAAAAGGATTTGGTGACCTAGATCCTGTTTATATTTTTTAAGCCCAAGCTGTTTGCTCATGGCTCACACCAGCAGAAGCACTGAGAGAAGGACAAACTGCAGTTGGGTTTGCTCTTCTCTGTTTAGAGGAAGAAGAAAACCATCTACTTTACCTGAATGAAAAGGCAAGCAAGGGGAAAGGGGGSCTTAGAGATTGGAATGGTGGCAATYAATWGGAGCAGTCAATGGTTTAAGCTATGTAGGAAAAATAATGTTCAAGCATAAGAGTGATCTGGACTTAAAAGGGTTTAATGCTCCTCTGGTGGTCCTGACCATGCTGGAGGACACAGTTAAAGAATTTCTCTTGTGCAACACCTTAGAATACCTGGCTGCAGCTATTTAAATGCTAATCATATTGCTCTAATTTCTGGGGAAGAAGAAAAAAAACCAAACTGCTAAAGTCTGAGGAATCTGTTTGGTATAACACACAGCCCTGAGTTACAGGTCAGTTTGTCCTCCRGGCAATCTGCTGGTTGATCCTGGAAATCAGTTTGGGTTTGTACATCTTTGACAGATACATATATTGGTTTATTATTTAGCATAGGAAGGTGGTTAAAACAATGASTGCCACAGGAAGAAACATTATTCAGTTAAACACAGAAAAGCACAAGCTATCCAATTTACTAAAGGCAACTCTCTCAGATGCTTTCAGAGGTGAAGATACAGGAACTGGTGACAGCAAAGCCAAGTCACCTTCCCAGAGCACCCAGAGCTCCCAAGGGGATAGAAACCATAACACATATCAATCCAAGTGGAGGTACAATCCTGTAGGATTGTCTCAAAACATACTAGGACGTCTCATATATTTTCTAYATTTCTTCTGCATTGCCAAACTCAACCTTCTGGTTATTTTGACAAAAACAGAAAAGTTGTCTAACTAGAAAAAAAAAAGGGGAAACCTAACTAGGAAAAAGAAAGGAAACTCAAATGTAAATATAGGTCACCCTTNATAGGTCACCCTTGAAAAAAAAAAAAGAAAAAAAAAGAAAAGTATCATGACTATACCAGTAAATCAGTAGCTCAATAAGAATTTTTACATGTAAAAAACATTCAAATAGTCTCTCCTCATAATAGCTTAAGAGAGAGCACTGTTGTAACTACCACCTTGTGCTGTAGGAGTTCAGCTTTCATTTTTATATACAGAATTATAAGTCTTCAGACACCCCTGGTTGAAAAGAAGGGCACGGTACATGTACATGGCAYTTTGCATTGAAATTGAGAGATGTCAATTGTTCAAGTCACTCTGGTCACCTGCAAGTCACCAGCTCATGTATCTCTCTAACTCAATGGCAGTGGGCCACATGCAGGCACACTGAAAATAAAACTACAAGCAATTACAATTAAATATTTCTCAGTTGGATGCCTTGGAGATCAGTGATATCACTGAATTAATTCTCTTCCAAGGAGCAGAGATTCTCCTGCTGCAGTTCCTYTTGGCAGGCTGGCCAGGGCAGGTGGGATTGCTGAAACAGTAATAAAACTAAAATGTTTTCAGGTCTAAAGAGTTTAAATACTTGGCCCGTGGCAAAAGCCTGACAGAAAAAGTTTAGAAGTTACATGTTAAAATTGGAAAAACCTAAAAAATGTCCCAGAAACTACTCTGAATCAATCTTAACCCTCAAYGACAATTTAATATATTTAGGAGTACAATTTCTCAAACATTTTGAAGGCACCACAAGGATCATYAGTCTTTACAGAGCCTTCTTTAAACCATCACTTGGCTGGAGAACAGCAAATCACAGCATGATTTTTTTACTCATAGAAGCTCTGTTTCTCAAACACAGGGAAAAAGGAAATTCTTGTAGAACTGACTGAGAGCACCCAAATCTCCTCTCTTTCAGAAGCTGTTCCACCCCTGTTTTAGTTCTGCCCTGGGGTCCCCACCTCTCTCTTGCTAACGGGACCWATTGCTGCTTTTCCCACCCCCAGTCCTGACCCCAGTGAGTCAGCATGTTATTTTTGATTTTTCTATCTAAACAATGCATTTAATCAATATTTAATATATACTATCTAGAATTCTTTTTAATGTTTTTTTTAAAACTCTTTGAACCTTTCATTAACTCCCTTGGAAGCTAAAATGTAAGTCTGAGAAACATYGCTCCAGAAAACAACATACAATTTTTAAAAATACAAACAAAATTAATACAAATTTTTAAATTGCATTATCTTTATACAGTATTTGCATCAGTAAGCACATTTTACTGTCAATATATTTTTTATATTGGATCAAGGTTACAACAATTCACGGAACAGAATATTTCCAGTAAAATAAACCTTTTATAAGAACAACCATGACATGAAGTAGTGAGATACTGTAACTAATTCAGCCAGAATTCATTTCAACAAGAATGCCCAGTTCCCATGCAGTTAAAAGACAATTAAGTAATTTAAAAGCAAACAAGTTAGAATTTTATTCRAATTTAATAATTAAAAAGTGTAGGATCATTAGTTCTAGTCATAAATTATGAAAACAGTATATAGCATTGTGTCTAGATGAGTGAAGGAGGCAATATMATCAAGTAAGGAAATACATACTGAATAAAAATAATAAAAGTAGCATTTTCTTTCAAACAAAGGACTGTTGTTTTTGTTGCCATTGCTTCTTAGGAGGGTGAAAAGCTTCATATGTAATAATGGAAACACACTGCACATCTAATACAAAACAAACTGTTAAAAAAACTACAGATACTGAGGTGCTGGTGATTTCATAACGGTACAATTTAATCAAATACAAAGCAGTACAGCAAACTATGAAGATACAMAAAAGGTGCCATTTCAAAAGGTTTGGAGAAGGAGAGATCAGAAGGTTTTTTTTTTCCAAGTCCACACACCAGATGTGCCCCCATCTCACTGCCATGAGGAAGAGTCTTCTCAGTGACACCCATGGGTGAATTCCAAATTAACCAAAACATGGCATGTGTTGCTCTAGCACTCCTTTTCTGTGTTAAAAAAA